AATAAGTAACAAAATTGATACCATCTCTTTCCTTGGGTTTCTGGGACCCACACTATAGTTTTCCTGTTTCTTGTATGGCCATCACTTCTCAGCTTCCTTTCATGGCGTATTCTCTTTCACCCAATAACTTACATGCTGAGGGGCAAGCTGGAGGAATAATATGAAAAAGATGGTACCTGGTACCTGTTTGCCTAATACTTACATTTTATCAGGGGAAAAAACAGATAACCAACAAGAAATCACATAATGCATCATCTAAATTCCATTGTGATCAGGGCTACCAAGGAACATGTAAGGCATTGAGAACATAAAGCAAGAAGTCCTGACTTGGCCTGGTATCCCTTTCATGTGAGATTTATCAACATAGCACTTTGCAGGAAGCACATAATCAGTAACTATTTGCTGAGTATATGAAAAAGCAAATGGAGAAAAAAAAATAGTAACTTTGCATATTGCAGTTGCTCTAATAGTATAAGAATTCATTTTTTTAAAAAGATTTTTATTGGGGAATTGGGGGGATGGGAACAGCACTGGGGAATCGGGGGAAGGGGAACAGACAAGTTGCTATCGTTTTGTTCTTCAGTCTAGTTGTGGAGGACGTTGCTTCACTGGCCCAAGTTGGCACCATCATTGCGCTCTTCCCCGGCGAGGCAGATCAGTTGCCGGCTTCTGGGCGGCCGCTCACACTGGCTGCTGGCTACACACGGTAGCACATGGCAACCCACTGCCACAAGGGCTGCAGCCCATGCCGTCGCTGGCGACTCACAGCAGCCCAGCTCAAAGTTGAGCTTTTGTTCAGCATCTTAGTTGTGGAGGGCAGTGTCACTGGCCCTCATATGTGGGATCCGAACTGGGGCCCACTGGTGTCCCAAGCCAGCTCTTACCCATCACGCCACTCAGCCAGCCCAAGAATTCATTTTTTTAAAAATTCAATAATTTTAAAAAGTGGCAAGATACAGTACACCTGGGACAATAGCAAAGCTGTATCCTTAGGGAAGAAAAACAGGACACATTAACAGAGAAAAGGGGATGTCTGCATCTCAATCATAATCCATGATAAAATCAGTGCTGACGGAAATATGCCTCAGTTCATTAAGAGACGTGCATTTTTGGGAGGGGTACTATCACCTATTTGTAACATCATGCAAAAGATTTGGGTCATCTCTCATCAAATAATAGAGATTCAAAGATATATACACACAGTTGCTTCCCTCAAGGAGTTCATAATTTAGCGACAGAAGAGATCATATAAAGATAACCAAAGATGCAAAGAAATATAACAATAGGGTTCTAGCCCTTAGATTCTAATTTTTCAGGGTAATTAAATGTACGTGAGACACCAGCCTTCAATCTTGCATTTTCAGTGGCCTGGAAAAAGAGATTATATATGAAAAACCTAGAGAGCTAAAAATCAATAAATGCAAAGTCCCCAGTCCAAGATGGAAGCCTGTGCCAAGTGGGTTCCCAGAGAGCAGTCTCTGAGGCAGAGATTAACCTGCAGGAGCTTTCTTGGGCAGTGTTCTCAGGATCAATACATGTTGGAAGAAGGGAAGACAGCAGGATTGGCAGAATTGTGATGCAGGCCTGACTAACTCTACAAGGTATTTTCAAGCTAGATTTGCCCCTAGTTGGGATGAGAGGAAGGGTTTATAGCCCTGAACTGACCAGTCATGGTTTGCCGGTGGATTTTGGGAAAGGAAAGTAAAATTTGGCAGAGACTCTTCAACCAAGGAAACCCTTAAAGAAGGCTTAATATTGAGAGATGTCTGCCGGCAGCTGGGGAAATAAGGCTTTTAGTCCTGAAGGGTATCAAGACAGCACATCACAGCACCTGGCTCCGGGTGGTATTTTCATTCCATTTGTTACTGTAAAACCTTCCACTAAGATCCATGGAGTGACATGCAGCCCACCTAGAGAAACAGAGAGATGACTGGTGTCTGCCTGCACTGAAGTACAAATGCTTATATTTTAGTTAAAACCAAATTTCAATGACAAATGAACTTACTTATTAAGAGAATATGAGCACCTGTTGCAAACATTTGACTGGAAGTTTTCTTTCAGTTAAGCTTAACAATTGGCACAGATAATCCAAAACCAAGGGAAACCTAACAAAACTAGGCTATATAGAGGAGAGCCAAGATGGCAGAGTAGATAAACACTGTGCCTGCATACTTCCATGAACACATTACAATTACAACTAAATTATAGAACTGTCAACCTGGGGAACCACCTGAAGTCTGGCCAAACAGAAGTCCTATAACTGAAAATACAAAGAAGAAACCACATTGAGACTGGTTGAAGGGGTGGAGATGAAAAATGGGCCCCAAACCTCCATGTGGCAGTTGAGAATAAGGAGGGATATCTCCACAGCAGAGGTTTCCTCCAGAGAAGCAAGAAACCTCACATGGGGCTTCCCAGCCCAGAGTACTTCTGCCAGGAAGAGGAGCCCCTACGATATCAGGCTGTGAAAAACAGTGGGTATTCCAACCATCCAGCTGGGACAAAAGGCTGCAGGAAACTCAGATGTCCTCTTAAATTGCCCATGCACAGACTCCCTAACTTGCAGGCACTCACCCTGAGCTGAGGGACAGTGACTCGGAATGTGTCGGAGGCATATGGGGACAGACTGAGGTGTGTAGCTTCAGTGCGAGAGCTGGAAAACAGTTGCCATTTTCCCTGTGAGGGGTTCTGCTCCTATGCAGCCGGCAGGCAGGTGCCATCTTTCCTGTGTTGAGCCCACCCCCATGGACCAAATCTGAATCTGATTGGTCTGTTGAGCTCTGCTCACTCCATTCTGCTGAATCATTGAGACCCTATCTCACCCAACTCCCCCAATGCCAGAGGCACTTTCTTCTTGAGCAGCCAGCCCCACCCACACTGCACTCTTTCTTGGAAACCTATCAGAGTCCAGCAGGCCTTAGACAGACTGCGACTAGCCTTAGTGTGCTCTGAGACTTTTGCTGAGTCTTCTAGGCTCAGCACTGGCATCAACCAGAATTTACATTAATCTGGTAACCACAACTCTTCCCACACTAGTGACTCCCTAAGACCTTGCCTCACCCAACTTTCATACTGCATTAGGCTCTAGCAACAGCTGAACTTTAAAGGAGCCAGCAGGTGGCAGCAAGCCTCGGGGTACACTGGACTTTTGTGGAGCTACCGCAGACCTGGTACTGGTGGTAGCCATCTTCAATTCACGGCATGGCCTCTCCCACGTGCCTCCAGGTTTAGCACAGCAGCAAACAACTGTGGATTGCTTTATAACTCCAATCAGGTAGCCCCCAGCCAGTCACAGAAAGTGGGTGAACTGGGCCTGCACTAGAGCCTCTCTTAAAAGGCCCCAAAACCAATATACTTGGAGGTTGGCTTCAGACCACTGCCCAATTGGCCCCACAAGTAGCATACACAAAGGTGGGTCTCAACAGACACCAGACCCACTGGGTAAAATCCCACTCAGTGAGGGAAGCCCCCCAGATAGCAGCCCATAATCTGTCAATGTGGCCAAATCCCCCAGCCAATCAGCCTGAGAGTCAATCCCACCCACTGACTTGCCAATAGCAATCAAGGCTCAACTATAACAAGAGGACATATACAACCCTCACAAGAGACACTCCTGGAGCACCCAGAGAGGGTGACCAGGGAGACTGTTCCAGGGTCCCACAGGAACTGTATTATTCTGTGGATCACACTGTGGAAAAGCTTGTTCTAGATTTTAGCAGATTGCCTCTCCATCAGTTACAATGATGCTGTAGCTTGGTTCACATTTTCTATATTCTGAAATTCTTTGGTTGAGTTTGATTGTTCATGGAATTCTTGTAGCTGCTTAGTTTACCTTGAGTTTTAATTTAAAATTTTAGCAAAAGCACCCAAACCAGGTCTTCATTTTCAGTAAATTTCAGATTTCAGATCCACATCATACACTTTATTATACTTTAAGCACATTAATCCTCGGTCTATGTTTTATAAGCAGGTTTTGCTTTTCTTCCTTTTGGCTGAAAGAACTTTCTTAAGCTAAGTATCAGTGTTCCTACTCTCAATGTTTATTTGTAAACAGTGTTCATTATAGACTCATATTTCAACTGTATCCTTTATTCCCTGTAAAATTTTGGTATTTGAAAGGGTGGGGAAAGCCTTTTGAAACATTTGTATTTATCTCAATTAAATATTTAAATTCATACAGCTTTCAGTATAAAGTTCTAAATGACTGATTTTCAAAGAACTCAGGTGTTATTTTCACAAATACTTCACTTCTATTTCCTTCTCTTAAAACTGGTTTCTATTATTTTCCCAGAAAGAATCAGGGCTTCTTTATTGATAATTTCTAGAATTTCCTTTAAACCTTGAAAGAGTTTAACCATAAAGTGCCAATGGGATAACAATGCAAATTTTACCATAGAGCCATTAATCAAGAATCAATAAGGCACTGAAGTTTTAGATTGTAAATTTAGGTTGCAAGTCAGATTCATTCCATTCCAATTTCTCTTAGAAATATATTGCTGTAGAGATAAAATGAGACCATAGTTAATGTTGTTTTTTTTTGTTTTTGTTTTAAAGATTTTATTGGGGAATTGGGGGAGGGAAACAGCATTGGAGAATTGGGGAAGGGGAACAGACAAGTTGCTGTCCTTTTTGTTCTTTAGTCTAGTTGTGGAGGATGTCGCTTCACTGGCCCATGTTAGTATTATCATTGCACTCTTCCCGGGTGAGACAGATAGGTCACCAGTGGTGAGACCAGCCACTGGATGGTCACTCACGGTGGCTCACGGCAGCTGCTGGCCAGACCCACTGCAGCCTACGCCGTCACAGGCAACTCACGGCAGCCCAGCTCCAGGAGGAGCTGTTGTTCACCATCTTAGCTGTAGAGGGCACAGCATCACTGGCCCTCATGTGGGATATGAACCAGAGCCCTGCTGTTCAGAGCTGGCGACCCAAGCCAACTCCTAACCAATGAGCCACTCAGCTGACCCTATAGTTAATGTTTTGATGGACTTTGTTTGCAGCATCTGCAGAGGTGGGCTGTGACGCTGTCTGGGAGAAAGATCTCAATTCACACATTTGCTACCAATTCAACCTGCTTTCATCTCTCTCCTGGAGCGAGGCACATTCTTCCTGCCAGATGCAAGGAGGCGCTTTACTAAGTATTGCAGATGGGACTGAAGAAAATTTCATAAGGAGTAAGTAGGTGAACAGTGCTACTGATACAATTAAAATGATTGTTGTTAACAATTTACGTCCATGTATGCAACGATATAATCTGGAACAATGAAAAGATCCTTGGAAAATATTTTTCTTGTATTCACATATCCAAACTCACACCCAGAATTTTGACTTGAACCCCAGGCCATTCCATTTGGCATCCAGTCATACCTTCCTTATTTTCTCCTCCTTGGGGAAGAGAAGTTAAGGCCTGAACAAGGGACCCGGGAGAGTTTGCAGCTCAAGCAGTTGAATCTGGGAGACTTCGAAACTTTAAGTAAAAATTCCTGCTCTGCTAGAAATCTTAGCCATTCAGCGTCCATTAGTAAATCATCAAGTCATTCATTAATTAAAATCTTACCTATTACTCACTGTGTGCAGGTACCCAGGAGGCCTTCTGGTGGATGCCTGAGAACTTAAAACTTAGTTGGAAAAGCAAAAGCACACACATGCTAACTAGCAGTATAAGAGAATAATATCAGATGCCAAAGGAGTTGTGCTAATGAGCTGGGTCTTGTGTTTCATCTATCACCTAAACTCCCCTCTTACTTCTCCTTTAAAGATTGAAAGTGTTTGCATACGTGTACATACAGATTTTTTAAAATAATTTTTGGAAACATTTGAAAGTGTCACAAAATTAGTCACTTTCATTAACAGTTTCTGACACTTTCTTCTAATGTTATTGCACAGGTAGTACATGTTTATTTCAGAGTAATTTAAAAAATTTAAGTGTACAGAAAGAAAAACAAAAGAAAAGCCTCCCACAATCCAGAGATAACTATGTTTTTCTGCAAAACATGGATACATACATAGTATCTATGAGAAACGGTACTGAAAAAAAATAGAAAGCAGCTGTTGTACAGTGGTTAGGAGCAGGGAACAGAAAGCCTGCCTGGGTTTGAGTCTACCACTTACAACAAAGCTACCCCAGCCAGTGACTTAACCTCTCTGTTCCTCAACTTCCTCCTCCTATCAAGTGGAAATAGTAACAATGATGCCCACTGCTTGGCAGTGTGGATTACATGTTATGTAACACAGGTAAAGTCTTAGAAAAATGCCTGCCTGGTACACACAACAAACATTCAATGTGTGTTAACCATTTAACAACAACTGTGCATATAATTTGATCATATACTTATTTCATTTAACTCCATATAATGAATATCTGTCCATGTCTATAAATGGAGATCTACATCATAATTTTAATGGTGACATAGTATTATAGGTTAGCAGTAATATATTTATCTAACCTACTATTAGATAGAGATAGATACAATTATTTTTTTGTTTTTATTTACATATTTATTCATTGCTACTATAAACTCTCTCTGCACATACCTTTGTGCATACATAAATTATTTTTCTGTAAGTTTGTAGAAGTAGATTGATTCACTGGATGGAAGAGGGAGCACATTTTATAGCTTTTGAAAGTCATTAATATCTTCCTGAAGATTGTAACAAGTGGATGAACAGTGCAGGCCTGCCCCTTTCCCCACAGCCAAGCAAAAGTGGGAGGTTATCATTAAAACTGATTTGAGTGAGTCATATTACAGAAAAACGCCCATTTCCAAAATCATCAATAGCCTATAATGGTTTTTATGGAAAACTTTCCACACCATTTATGAATTACAATTGTTCTTTATCTTGATTGCCAGGGTTTCTAATAAGAGGTTTTGGACTTATTCATCAAACTTGCATAACAATTAAAAAATAAGATATGTCAGAGATATTGATTTAAATACCTCAATTCTATAATTAGATTTTGGGTATTGTTTAGGAAAACAGAAGTCTATTCATAAAGAGGAAAACCTGTTCTGACCAAGGTATTTTGTTTGTTTGTTTGTTTGTTTGTTTGTTTGTTTGTTTGTTTGTTTTTTTAAAAATTTTATTGGGGAATTGGGGGAGGGAAGCAGCATTGGGGAATCAGGGAAGGGGAACAGACAAGTTGCTGTCCTTTTGATCTTCAGTCTAGTTGTAGAGGACGTTGCTTCACTGACCCATGTTGGTATTGTGATCATTGCCTCTTCTTCCCGGGTGAGGCAGATCGATCACCGGCCACTGGCCAGCTGTTCTCCGTGGCTCTTGGCCGCTCACGCTGGCTGCCGGCCACACACGGTAGCTTATGGCAGCCCACTGCAGCAGGGGTTGCAGCCTACGCCGTCCCCGGCGACTCATGGCAGCCCAGATCCAGGTCCAGCTGTTGTTCACCATCTTAGGTGTAGAGGGTGCAGCGTCACTGGCCCACATGTGGGATCCGAACCGAGGCCCTGCTGTTCAGAGCTGGCATCCCAAGCCAACTCCTAACCAACGCGCCACTCGGCCGGCCCTGACCAAGGTATTTTTTAATGATGAAAATAGTCTACTGGGCCAGCCGAGTGGCATGTTGGTTAAGAGTTGGCTTGGGATGCCAGCTCCGAGCAGCAGGGCCTCGGTTCGGATCCCACATGAGGGCCAGTGATGCTGCCCTCTACAGCTAAGGTGGTGAACAACAGCTCAACCTGGAGCTGGGCTGCTGTGAGGCGCCAGCGGCGGTGTAGGCTGCAGTGGGGCTGGCCAGCAGCCGCCATGAGCTGCCATGAGCCACTGTAGTGGCCATCCAATGACCAGCGAGCGACTGCCTCACCCGGGAAGAGTGCAACAATAATACCAACACAGGCCAGTGAAGCAACGTCCTCCACAACTAGACTGACAAACAAAAGGACAGCAACATGTCTGTTCCCCTTCCCCAATACCCTAATGCTGTTCCCCTCCCCCAATTCCCCAATAAAATCTTTAAAAAAAAAGAAAATAGTCTACTGTTTCTTGCTAATCACTGGTGAACATTAACTATGGTATAAGGAATTATCTAAGCTGCCACAAACACCAAGAAGTATCCAAAGGAATTTAGGTTTGAGTTTGTTATAAAATTATGAGCCAATTTAGTTGTAAAGCAAAATAGATTGTGTTGGTACCTTTAAACACAGATTATAAATTACACAATAATTTTTTATATATATTGTTAAAACAATTGAAAAGAGGGTAGTCAAAATAGCTCTAAGATAATTAATATTTATATATTTTAAGTAGATTATTTGAAAATACCACTCAGCACTTCCATACGAAATGTGGAAATTTTTCCACCTTGTTGCTCCTTCTTCCATTTAGGATACACGTGATTTGAATTAATCAAATGGTACCATTGAGAGGACCAATCAGATCCACTTTAGGAAGAGACTTCATGTTAATGTCACAGGAATTTGGAAGAGCAAGGCCCGTGAATGTTATGCTGTTTCTGTTTAGTGATTTCTGGGGTATCAAAATTACAAAGCACCTTTTTCTCTTTCCTTAAGTGGGTTAGGTCTTCCAGTTTTCCCTGCTGTATTGAAACATCTTATCACAGAGGATGCTCAATCCTTGTTATGTGAATCTTTATAACCTGGGTGACCATACAATGGGTCATCCAAACGGAGGCTCTTTTGAGAAGCTGCAATTCATAATTATTCTGGAACTACCAACATAAACCATGAGTTTTCCAGGCAAACTGGGACACACAGTCACTCTGTTTATAACTCGTGTCTGTCAGGGTCTCAGTCTCGGACAGGGCCCCTGCATCTGGTTCAAAATAAATTGGGTTCCAAAGAAGATGAACCATAAGAGAATAATGCTCTGCTATATAGATTAAAAGATTAAATGGGTAAAGAGGGTCAAATATATGGTGAGAGAGGAAAACTAGGCTTTTGGTGGTGAGCATGCAATAAAATATATAGATATTGAATTATAATGTTGTACACCTATAATTTATATATTGTTATCAACCGGTGTTACCTAAATAAGTAAATAAGGTTAAATGGCAATATTTGAAAGTGTCACAAAATTAGTCACTTTCACTAAAAGTTTCTGACGCTTTTTCCCCCCCCCAAATTTTATAGTACAAGTAGTACATGTTTATTCTTGAATAATTTTTAAAATTCAGGTATACAAAAAGAAAAAAAAAGACAAAGAAAACTTTCCCCCAATTCTATAATTTTGATAGCCACGTTTTTCTGCACAAGCATGTCAATGCACATATTTACACATAGCATTTGTAACCAAAATTATTATTATTATTTTTTTTTAGCTGAGCCATCCCGCCACCTGTTGGCAGCTCACGGCTGCTCAGCTCGGGCTGACTCGAACCGCTGTTGCTCAGAGCTCAAACTCTTGAGCGAGCTCTTAACCAACTGAGCCACTCAGCCGGCCCTGTAACCAAAATTATTTTGAAGTAAAACGTGATGGGCTGTAGTGCAGCGGTTAGGAGTAGGAGCCAGAGAGCCAGCCTGACAGAAAACCTTCTCCCACCCCAAGCTGAAGAAGCGTTTGCATTGTGCATGGTCTTTATGTCCCAACCTGCTATGGATTCCTCTGGGTCCTCTGGTCCCTTGGATTCAGACCTGTCAGCTGTATTCCTGAGCATCCAAACTGAGAACACCAGACACATATGGCAAGAGAAGGAACACTTTCTGGTAGTGGCCCAGGACGCTTCCTCCTCCACCCTCTAAAATTCTGCAGTGCATGAATTCACACCCATTAGAAGGTCTTGGATGGATGGATTGACAACCATTGAGAGGCAGCTTTTCTAGATGCTTAGACTGAGCACTTCATAGCTACTTGCTGTCAGTGAGCCATTAGAGAACTACTATGTTTCTCAAGATAGCAAGAGGCTGGCTTTTTTTACTCTGAAGCACCAGGGTGGAGTTTAGTAGCACTTAAACCCTCTTCTGTCATTGAATGGAATTAATGTATGACTCCAGGCTCCAGGAATAGGAAAACTAGAAAGAAATGTAGCATTGATTTTTTTTTTTTCAAACTCCATGTTTCCCTTCATTTCAGAGCACTTGAGTGGCAAAACAGTGGAAGCGTGGATAGGTCTGAATCAGTTGGATGAAAATGCTGGCTGGCAGTGGTCTGATGGAACACCACTCAACTACCTGAACTGGAACCCAGGTACCTGTAGCATTTTAACAGGTAGCATCATCCCACAGCCTGAAATAGTGGCATTTCCCACATAGGTGTAAGGCATATTATTTTGAAAGTAGTTTAGAAAAAAATTTAAGCCTGATTTAATTCCCATAAGGCTTTTCCAGACAGGAAAATGGAGGCCAAAAGAAGGTAAGCTACGTATTTAGCCAAGGTTGCAGGAGGATTTGGGTCAGAGCCAATATTTTAGTCAACTTTTTAAAAAATAGCCACAAATAACAAAATATTTCTCTACTTTAAAACACTAAAATCAGCTGTTGGTATCTTTGGGAAATCATTCCATGGTCATGCCTGGACTTTGATGGCAAGATCGTAGATCTAACATCTTTTAGGATTTACCATATATGCCAAAGAGAAGGGTCCTGTCCTTGATGCCAAAACTGCATATCGGTATATATGAAACTAACTGCTTTTGCTTCTAACATTAAATACACACACACACACTGTATTTTCAGAAACAAATTTTGAGCCATTTGTTGAATATCACTGTGGAACATTTAATTCATTTATGCCAAATACCTGGAGAAGTCGGGACTGTGAGGCCACTTTGCCCTATATATGTAAAAAATACCTAGATCACACCGATCACAAAGTAGTTGGTAAGTGTTTTCATTTTAAGTTGTTCTCATGAGTTGCTTACTTGTCCTCTCCATATATTCAAATTCCGCTATTTTTTCTACTCATTTGTAATTTAAACTTAGTTACAGCTAGTTTTTATATGAATAAAAAATGTATAACTAGATAATATCTGTTATGCCAAAGGCACCATGAATTTAACCAATGCATTCAGGTTTTTACTAAAAACTAAAGCAACATAACCTAAGCGTGGAAAACATTTTTTTTAAATGTTCTCCCTCTTTTTTAAAAAATTTACATTCTTAGTCATCCTGCATTAGAAAAACAAGACATGCTTCCTTTTCTATTCCAGCTTTGAGTTTTATTTATGGTTACCATAGAAGGTAAATGTAAGTTAGAAAATAGTCTTATAAAATGTTTTACTTTATTGATTTCCTATTACACTCCATATATATATATACATATATATATATATTTTAGTAACACAATATATATATATATATATTATAATATAATATATTATTATATATATATATATATATATATATATATATATATATATATATTTATTTATTTTAGTAACACATCTTCCTTCCCGAAATAACATACAAAACTTTTAGGTGTAACTAAGACTAAAGTACCTAATTACAATCTAGTACCTTGAAACCTAATTATTTCTGTTTGTAAGGTCTATTGCCTCTTTTAGGTTTTGTGGGAATTACTGTCTTAACTCAGAACATAGAGATAAAAACATAACCATTGTTAACAGAATCATTACCAGCACAATTAGAAACAACTCTAGATTTAAAATAATAAACTGAATTATAATTTAAAAATATTATCCCTTACAATTAGGCTTCAACTTTCATTTTCCTTTAAGTAGCTAAGCCTATGGGTATTGTAGAATACGGGGGCGGGGGCAGGAGAAACATCATGCCTTTTTTTTATGTAGAGGTTGTTTTTCATTATTTCAAGAATGTGCTGAAATTGTTACTGTCCTTATCGCTCTTTCCCTCCTTCTCTTCCTTCTTTCATTTCCCTCCTCCAACTCTTCCTTCTTTGTTTTTGTTTCTGTTTTCTTTCTTATGCCCTCCTGCCACCCTTCTTTTCTTCCGTTTTATTTATTGCCTTGATCTGATGATTGAAGTCAGAGACCAGAAATTAAGGTAGGTAAGCTAAATTTGTTTGGATTATTTGCTGTTGCTTCAAGTTCAACTAATCCTTTTGATGCTCTAGTTCAGTGTCTTTCAACTGTGTTTCCAGGATGCCCAGGTTCCTAGCTTGACCCCGCCCTTGCTTCAATCAGAGAAGTTCCTGTTTTTATCTTATCTTACCTTTACAGTGAAGTTTAAGGTTCCACTTTTTATTTTTTAAAGATTTTATTGGGGAACTGATGGAAGGGAACAGTCAAGTTGCTGTCCTTTTTGTTCTTCAGTCTAGTTGTAGAGGACATCGCTTCACTGGCCCATGTTGGTATTATCATTGCGCTTTTCCCAGGTGAGGCAGTCACTCACTGGCCATTGGATGGTCACTCACGGTGCCTCATGGCAGCTCACGAAAGCTCACACCCCCTGCCAGCCAGCCCCACTGCAGCCTACGCCATCGCCGGTGACTCACAGCATCCCAGCTCCAGGTCGAGCTGTTGTTCCCCATCTTAGCTGTAGAGGGCACAGCTTCACTGGTGCTCACGTGGGATCTGAACCGAGGCCCTGCTGCTCAGAGCTGGCGTCCCAAGCCAACTCTTAACCAATGCGCCACTCGCCTGGCCCTAAAGTTTCATTTTTAAGGGGCTCGGTGATTCATTTTTTTTTAGGTTTTAATCATGGGAATAGATGATATTTAAATGTGCTAACATTCTTTAACTGTGATTCTATTGTAATTGCTGTCAGAGTCCTAGAAGCAATTTTAAAAGAATGTTTTGTTTCCCAAATAGCAGTGGAGTTGTATCTAACTAAATTAGTGTTGAAGGGAGGCATTCAGTTGTGGTTAATAAAATAAAGTAAAAATGCTATCACCAGGTTAAGAGCAAGCTCCTGGAAGAGGAAAGCCAAAACTTGGCATGCACACCATTGCCTTCCCTCCTAGTGTCAAAGCATTATGACACTTCCGTTAAGTTTAACCTGCAGTCCATACTCGTATGAATCCAGAGGGACATTGCAAGCACTCAGACTGTCCCTCAAGATGAAAGCTATTTGTCATCTCTGCTCTAGAGAAAATGGCCAGAATTTCAGACCCTTTTCAGCTGAGGATACATATCTACCTCGACCCACAGATGGCACATAAAATCCTTAGACGATCATTTAATTTTTTTCCATAATGTTCCTTTGTCAGCATGAAAAGCTTTTAAAACCGGACAACTCTAGCTGGTAAATTTTCTATCGAGCCCTAACTCTCAGCTTTGGCTATATGACCTTTACCACATCTCCTTACCTCTTCATGCTTTAGATATCTCCTCTGGAAAATGAAGCACTGAGATCCATGAGATCCTAGATCTAGAACATAGATTCTCAATGCTGAGATCTAGAATCCTTTGATGTATATGTTATTGTTTCATATTTTTTTGTTTTTCACATTTTTAAAGTCATCGTATACACATGGCAACTTATATTAAGAAAAATAAGTAATGTTTTTAAAATGTGGAACTCGACATTGTTTTTGTTGTTGTTGTTCTTTAAAAAGAAAAAGATGCTTGGAAATATTATGCTACCCGCTGTGAGCCTGGCTGGAATCCCTATAATCGTAATTGCTATAAGCTTCAGAAAGAAGAAAAGACCTGGAGTGAGGCTTTGCATTCTTGCCAGTCTGAGAAGAGTGCATTAATAGACATAGCTTCGTTAGCAGAGGTGGAGTTTCTTGTCAACCTCCTTGGAGATGGTGAGTACCAAATGCCTTTGATTTCATAGGTCTGAAATATAATATAACTATCTTCATTAATGGTGTTGAAAAGAAATTACACTATTTATAAAAGTGATTATTTATAGCACATATATCTGAAGTTTGTAAATAACATCCAGGAGTGAAAATTCATTGGATTTTTACAAAATACATGACCAGAAACCTTGTAACATCTCACCTATGCCAGAAATAGTAGATGTTTTTATTTTTTTAAGGGGTAGTTCATTTCCTGAAACTTAAAAAATACTACTACTACTAAACCTGTAATTCAGCTTCATGGACCCTAGAGAGCATTAGTGTGTTGTGGTCATGTAATCCAAGCAACAGAGGGAATTGCTTAGACAAATAATTGGATTTAAATAACTTTAGCCAGTGAAAATGGATAATTTATTTAATATGGTGGTTTTCAAGCTTTGTGTCATGGTCAGGAGTTCCAAGCTCCTAGGCCTCCACCCAGCTTCAGCCCATCAGAGCACGTGTGCCTCTACTTATGTCATATAGTATTCAACAGAGAATTCCACTAAAAACCATTGAAATTGCTGACTTAGAGCAAATTTTTAAAATGAAAAAAGCAAACAAAAAGCCCTCCAGACTCGACTCTGATGAGCTTTTCAATGTTAGGTTTTAGTTTAGAATGAAAACAAAAACCCATCTTTGTCTTTTCTTTTTTTCCCTTACCCTTTGCATTTGGTATTAAAAGAATCCTGCGGCTGCCTCTGTCTCAATAGGGGCACCTGGCTGTCTCTCTCAGCCACACAAGGTCTTTCCATCCAACCTGGGCTGTCCAACTTTATTTTTCCAGCAACCCCATTGCTGCCATTTCAATGCTTCTAAAAGATTCTGCCCCTTTTTTTCATGGACGAAAAAAAGAAGGAGAGAGAGAGAGAGAGAGAGAGAGAGAGAGAGAGAGAGAGAGAGAGAGAGAGAAAGAGAGAGAGAGAGAGACAGAGACAGAGACAGAGGGGGGGGAGAGAGAGAGAGAGAAAGAAAATATTGTAAAGCTAGACTATCATTAAAAGTTTGTGTTTTTTTACATTACTT